TAATCACGTGAGCATGCGCATTTTTCTTTCGGACAAATAAAAACTCTTATTACGCATGCTAACGTGATTATTTTTTTCCTTCCTATCCCGTTCCCGTTGAAAAACGGATGAGTGGAAACTCGCCTTAAAGCTTTCCGCTAATCTTTTACAAAGCAATCCTTTATTAAACAAAGTTTGAAGCAAAACCAAATGTAATTTCTTTTACAAAATTTGTAAAAGTTTTTTTTGCAAATTTTGTAAGAACAAATAAAATATGCTTTAACTGAAAACATTAGTATTAAATAATCAGGGGCGGATCGAGACCATGTAGTAAGGAGAGCAATTTTTAAATTTTTTCGATTTGTTGGATCCAGAATTCTACTTTCCACTTGGTGGATCCAGAATACTAAATTTAGTAAAAAAAGGAGAGTCGATTACACCAAACGACCCTCTTTCCCTACTGTACGGACATAGAACTGACAAATTTATCATTATATTTTGTGAAGATACGACAGAGCTTAGCCGACAGCTTTTTTCGTTTCCGTTTATCGTCTTGCTTGTAATTCGGCATAAGTTGCTAACGGAACTGAACAAAGTGACCAAAGTTTTGCAGAAATCTCAAATGGATATTTCCGTGGCCATCAAACTTGTGGAAGCAAAGCGTACTAATCTAGCTAATCTCAAAGACAATGGGTTTAAGAATAGTCTTGCCAACGCCTCTGCAAACGCAAAAGATTAAAATTCCGTGGGTCCTGTGCTTACTTGGTTTATGTTACTAGTACGTTTTGCAAAAAAGAGCCTCAAAAATATTTTTGCACCGTGCCTTAAATGTTCTAAAACAGACTCTGAATTCATTATGATGCTAGCTCCACAATTTATTGTTTTGAAAAATTTTAAAAGTGCAGTTGCGTTCTATAACCATTTAATAATAAAAAAATGCTTGGAAAATAAAAATTAATTAAATAAAAAATTTTTGTGTCCTGTTTTGTTTTAGGTATATTTTAACATTAAAATTACTGTCGACTATGATTGTGTATAAGCCTTTTTTTTTAAATAAATCTGTGTTTATTCTGAACATCTGTTCAATTTTCTTTGCTTTTATTATTTATCCTCTTGTATATAAAAAGTTTTTTCAATAGAAATGTCTATTATTTCTCTGTGGGTTTTCATTGCTCAGTCTAGTTCAAGCACCGCAAATTACCTACATCAAATATAACGAAACTATGATTATATCTTTGTTGGATAGAATTTTTGGCTAGTGAACAACGACTATCTTAATATAGCCAACATAGACATTTTTTAACGGTACAAACATCCCAGTGGGTACGGACGTAAAAACGTCTTTTAAACGTCTTATACACGTTTTGGACGTCTTTTGAGCGTCTTTTGAACATTTTGAACGTCTTTTGAACGTTCAAAATATAGTTTCTTTCAGACAGGAGTGATTCATCTTTTTCTGTCAATGTTTTGATTACTTGTTGTGTAAAAAAAAATTTATTAAAAAGTTGTGTGTTATTTGTATCTTTAGACGTTGTTGTAAGACTTATTTTATATTTATATTTTATTTCTTTATCAAAATTGCTTGGAAATTTGGTAATTTTGATGCCAATGTATTGTCCTACCAATAACTGATATATTTATTTAACGATAACCGATAACTAATATACTTACTTAATGTAGATACGTAACATTTGCCTAATGTTACTTATGTTTATATGCATTTTTTGTTAATTTTAAAAAAATAACAAAAAATGCCTATAAATTGATTTTAGATCAAATGCTAAAATTGTTGTAATAAAATATAATCAAAAAACACTAGATATTATACATATGCGTAAAATATGTGTGGTTTTAACAACTTAATATTAAAAAATAAAAATAATTTTAATTATAGTTAATTGTATTAACTATAATTAAAATCATAGTTAATATAATGTGAATGCCGTTTTTTATTTTATATTTAGAAAGTCAATTATTTTTTGGCAAACAATTTTGTTTAAAGCATGTCATTAGCAATTGACTCCATAAAATTGAAAAATTATTCATCATAAAACGTAAATAACGGTGTTAAGAAGGGGATGCAAGTAATATTTTTTATTTGTTCAAAACTAATAAAAAAGCATTACTTTTTAGTATTTTACAAAAAACAGAATAGTAATTATCACCTCCAACTTCTTCTTAACAGCTTTTTTAAGCCACTAAAATCTTGATATAATAAAGAATGTGGGTTATTGTTGAATAGGACTGTGACTTTTGAATATGTTTTTGATTTATATAATTTATATAACAAACCGCTAAAGTTTTTTTGCTAGGTTTATCATGGCCTACCCGGTGGGAAATCGGCTAGCAAATAGCTAGCTATAATCGTAACGATAAAGACAGCAATTTGGCCACGAGGATCGCTAGTTTTTTTTAGCGATTTAGCGAAAAGCTATCGATATTTGTTAAGATAAAGACTACGAAGACAGGTAGCTTCATAAGCTAAAGACCTACTGGCTATTGTAGCTAGCGTCATATCGTAATAAAGTCGTTCTCTAAAAAATGATATGCAGCTATCAACCGGCTATAGATTTGTAGTTATTTTGTAGCTAGCTACAAAGCCACGATATGTAGCTTTGTAGCTAGCTACTAAACTACGACACATTGCTACGAAATTGCAATTTTTAAAGTTCAATTATCCTCAAAATCATAATAGACTCAACACTAAAAATAGAATTTTTAAAGATGTTAAAAACATTAGGAAAAAATAAAATAAGAAAAAAAAATCGTTAGAAAATCGCTTTAAAGTTAGTCGCTCGCTAGTCGCTAGCTCATTTCCCACCGGGTACTTAATATAGTATTTAAGTAGGCCATGGGTTTATAGTAGGGTATTAGAAGATATCTATTTACCTTTTTAAAATGTGTTTGTTGGCTTGTACTAAGTTAGTAATTATGTGTTTCATTTCATCTTTGTCCAAAAATTTTCCCAAATAGCTCTGCGCAGGAGCGGTGATCTCAGAATCAAGTGGTCTGAGGTTTGACGCTTGCTTAGTGACATTTATAAGGAAGGCGGCGTTGAGCTTCCTTGTTAAATGCTCTTTCGCGCTGCTCTGTTAAAAGACTGTTAGGTTTCCTTAAAATACTTTAATAAACTCAACAACAACAACAAAAAAAAATATAATAGTTCAAGTAAATTGTTTATAGGTTTTTTACATACATAAGCATTTTACGTATTTATTTACGTAGTCTTTTTTTAATATTTTATTGATTATAAAATTGAAATTTAGCTGAATATGCTAAACAAAAATTTTTTCTGAACAAAATTTATTTTATTGATTAGATCAATAAAATAAAACTAATTTTATAAAAATTTCTTATACTAATTATCTTGAGCTTTTATTCATTTGGCTTATTAACGCAATTTTTATTTTTAAACTACTTGGATGTATGAGCAACAATTGACAATGGTTATGAAGCACTTGACCTTTGAAAAAAGAAAAAATGAACCAAAAATCTGTATTTTTTAATTTTAAATTCAATTTTTGAATTTGGTTATACAGTTATGTACTCATGTATCATGCAAATTTTGGGGAAGGCAGAAAAAAATGCATGTCATTTTTTAAACTTTAAATGTCATTACAACTTTTAAACGTTAAAAGTTTTTAAAATAAAACTTGAAAGCTGATGAATTTGAATTTAAAATAAAAAGGCATTAAAATATATATATTTTAACTTGTTCGGGCCATAGAGAGAGACCTTTTCGAGAATTGTTCCCAACCTCCAATCACTCTTTTTGTAAAACATTCTCATTTGACATAAGCATAAACAAAAGAGTCATATCCTAAATATCCTGCCTACGCCTCTGCGTAGAATAAAAAAAAGTTATGATGTTTATAAGTGACATCATTTTCTTGTTTGTTAAAAACAACAACATTTTATAAACTCTCGTATCAAAAATGTATCGTAATGATTAATAGATGATATTTGAGTAAATATTTTAGTGGACAAAGTTACTAATGAACGATGTTCTCTAGCGGTTTTGTTTATGGTACATTTCCTTATTATTATTTAAAATAAATCAGTTTGTAAGTCCAATAATTAAAAAAGTATTTTTGCACCCCTAGTAAATACCTATATATTCCTATACAAGATCTCTATATATGGTAACTAAAGTTAAGTATTATTCATGGTAGTTTGGTATTGCTTTATTATTTTAACGAAAATAAATTTGTAAAAATAAATCGGCGACAATAATTTTTACAAATTTATTGAATTTATCAGACTTTACAGTTTATCAATTTTAATCTAAATAATTTCAAACAAACACTAATAAAAAATGTGTGCAAAAAACAAAAAGATATATACCGAATAATAAATAAATACAAAAAAAAACAAAAATAATCTAAAAAACATTAACTTTTTCAACAAATATATAAATCTTACTTAAGAATAAATAATCTTCAGAATCACCGGTCATTTTCAATGTTATTCCAATTTTTTTGATGTTATTCCAATTTTTTTTGATGTTATTCCAATTTTTTTTGATGTTATTCCAATACTAATATTATTGTGTTATTCCAGTATAGCAATTTTTAATCCTGAAATACAATTGAAATGGTTGTTTTGAACAAAGTGAGCAGTATGAGTCGAATACCACTCTGGTGTCCATTGATATCGCCAAAAATGAAACAGAAACTAAGATAATCACAAAAAGTATTGTTTAAGAGTAAACTAATTTTTATTTGAGAGCAAAATGTAAATCAACTTTTGATTGACTATGGATTTGGAGTGTTATTAAAATGTTAATTTTAAGTTAAAAGGTACTTTAAAGAGTGCAAATATATGAGTGTTTATAGATGACATTTCATTAAGTTTTATTTGCAAGTAATATATTTATACATGCATATACAAATACAATTTGCAACTTATATACGAATATCGTAAAAGTTTATTAAGGCAAAAAAAAAAAAAAAAAAAACAATCGTTCGATTTTACGATTTTAGTTCCACTTAAAATTTATCAGCTCCCAAAAATATCGATTCGAATTTTAAATTTATGCGAATTAAAAGTTATAACGCTTTTCGGTTTTTGTTTGGTAACGGATAAAATTGCATACCGACAACAAACTTATAGAGGAAGATCAAAGAGTTAGTATTCTGCCAGTGCTATTTGAAAATTATTTGCTTTTTTGCCTTGTTATTTAACAATAAATTATACTGAAATTGAATTCTTCATTTTACATTTTTATCAATATCAAAAACGATCAAAGTTTTCCAGTTTTATAAAATGGTATTTTAAAGGTTATTTTTGTATAAATAATTTTGAAAGGTTTTGTATGACTTCTAAGTATAAAGTTTTATCATCAATACTTTCTATCATCAATAGTTAATCTTGCAATATATTAAAAAAAAATCTTTAGTTACAGTGATGCAATAACATAATGACAGTAAAAGTATAACTACAAATTTTAAATATATTGCTATTACATTACATATGAAGAAAATTTTGATATAACTATTTCTCTACCTTTATATTATAAAAAGCAAATCGCCTAAAACATTTGGAAATATGGCAGGTTATATTTAGTTCATGTTAGCATATACTGGATGGCCTGCCCTGACAATTATTAACTATCAGGAACACAAAGATATTTATCACAAAAATTTAAATAATACAATTTTATGTGAATTAAGCAACTAAATGATATATTCGTAAATAACCCCTATAAAAAAAATCTTTAGCTATACCATTATGATTGTTGTAGTTATAAACCATTGAAAATCTAAATATGTAAAAGATTACCAGGAATAAAAGAAAAAAAATGCATTTATAAACAAATAAATAAATAAATCTGAAACTTTACAAATCAATAAAAATTATAAGAAGAAATTTATATTTAAAAGATTTTGTATCCTATTGAAACATCAGGAAATGCATTTAATATATTTTATTAACAAAGCTTTTTACAAAGCAAATTGTATTAATTTTTTTTAATGTTGACTGTTAAATAATTACTCCAATAAATATTAATTGTTTAACTCCAATAAATATTAATTGTTTAATATAAAAAATTTAAATGTAAAATATGCACATTTTAACACAGTTGGTACAGATTTTGAAACTTTAGTATAAATAATGTTGTTCATATAAATAAAACAAAAAAAATCTTTAGCTAAAATTTTGTTGGATAAGTTTTTGCGTCACAGTAAGAAAGGAGGCGTGAACTTCCTGGTTAAATGCACTTTCGCGGTGCTCTGTGACAAGACCCTTAGGTCTTCTTAGGGCACATAAATAAATATATATATGCATATATATATATATATATATATATATATATATATATATGCATATATATATATAAATAAATATATATATGCATATATATATATATATATATATATATATATATATATATATATATATATATATATATATATATATATATATATATATATATATATATATATATATATATATATATATATATATATATAGGCCCGGATTTACCCCATTTGGGGCCCTAGGCAGATTCAAATTTTAGGGCCCCTAAAAGGATATATTAATCCTTTATTCAAGAATCAAGAATGTACTTTTAAAAGCAACTTCAAATATTGACACTCAATCAAATTTAAAAAAAGGACTTTGGTATGTGAAAATATGTTTTATTTTCAAATTTTACATTAACTTTTTTCTACACTTTTCCTTAGCAAATTCTTCAATCAATAATTTTTAAGAGATGGCGCCCAAGATTTTGGGGGCCCCCAAAATCTTGGGGCCCTAGGCAGTGCCTAGTTTGCCTATAGGTAAATCTAGACCTGTATATATATATTAGGTATATGACATGAAATTTTTAAACAAATCAATCATTAGATTGTTATATATCATATACAATAAGTTATAGCCTTTTAAGTACTAAATTTTCGATATATGGATTTATTGATGAAAACTTGATCAAATTTCAAGTTTTTCTGAACTTAAAATGTCGTAACTTTCTCAATCTTATCAAAATTCATACAACTTGTTATCAAAAAAAAGGTCTTAAAAAGGAGAATCAGGATATGTAAAAGATTTATATAGAGCATCTATACCACCCTTAGAAGGGTGTTTTTTTTTTGTATTTTTTAATATAATTCACCATACCACTGACAAATATGGCTTCAGGTGGTAGTTAATATGCCTTTCTACCCATTGCCACTGCCAAATCATTGTATTTTTATATATAAATGTATAATATTTAGTGTAAGGAAAAAAATGGTTTTGAGATAACAAATACATACTAAGTGTGTAAAAAGGGTGCAACAAGGAATATTTCGCACCATCTCCCCCCCCCTGGCCTTTACTTCAGGTAGACAAGAGGTAGACAAGAGGAAGGGAGGGGGAAGAGTGAGAAAGGGAGAGGGTTAAATTATGATATTAAAAACAATCTTTTTATTTAAAAATATTATTTATAGTAAAGCACAAACCTTATTTACAAACTAATTATAAAACAAATTAATATGAATGTTATAAAATGAATTATTTATCATATATCTAATGATAAATTATTTATCATATATCTAATTATTTATCACATCTAAAGTGGCATTGTTCACTGATGATACTACCATTTATTCTAGTCACGATAAGAAGCCAACTCCCTCTGATTGCTTGCAGGGGGCATCTGAGCTTGAAAAGGATCTCACTTCTGCTACAGCATGGGGCTCACAGTGGCTGGTGAACTTTAGTTCAGATAAAACTCAATTTTTTTCAGCCAATCGTTATCGCAATAATTTAGACCTTCCTATATTTATGAATGTTAATGTACTCAATAAGTCTCCTACCCTTCTTCTTCTAGGATTAACTCTTACTTCTGATCTTTCTTGGAAACCTTATATCAAATCCGTTGCAAAATTAGCATCTGCTAAAGTTGTTTCTCTTTATCGAGCTCATCACTTTCTTACTCTGGATTCTATTCTCTATCTCTATAAATCTCAAATCCAGCCTTGTATGGAATACTGTTGCCTCGTTGGAAGTGAAGATGTTTAAAAATATATATATATATATATATATATATATATATATATATATATAAAATATAATTATTATATTTTTTATATATATATATATATTTTTTTTTATATTCGTCTTTTTGTATATTAAATATACAAAAAGACAAATATAAACAAATATATATATATACAAATATAAACTGAATATATATATATATATATATATATATATATATATATATATATATATATATATATATATATATATATACAAATATAAACTAAAAAAAACTCTATATATATACACACTATACATACACCTACGAATAGGTGTATCTAGATACACCTATTAATATATGTATCTACATACATATATTATTAAATGTATGTATAGTGATTAACAACAAGGTTTGTTGTCCTGCCTCTTCTGCCACCAGGAGGCTGAAATTTAAAATGAGGCAAGTCTTTGCCTCCATTATGGGCCTATATATAAAAAATCCAATTTGATTTAGGCTTAGGGTGGCTTTAGCTCCAAATAAAAAAAATATCACTCCTTGACAAACCTATATTAAGTAAAAGCAAAACTTTAGTAAAATAATTAAAAAATGAAAATAAAGAAAAAATTGTTAAAAAAATTACTTTGGAGGTTTTCTTTAGAATTGTTGGCGCCAGGTGGCAGAGATGGTGATGATGCCAATAAAGTTGGTAAATCTGAAAAAAAGTCAGTAACTTTAGTAAAATTACTAAAATTTCATATTAACCTGTCTATACATCTATTTTAAAAAACTAATAAAGTAAGAAACTAATAAATAACCGCAACTAATTTGTTTTGCAGCAACTAAGTTAAAATTTTTTTTAGCTCTTTTAAAAACATGCTTTTCTAATAAATTCAATAAAATAATTAAAATTCTACCAACTACTTCTTTTCTTTTAGCTAACAACAAAAGTTCATATTTTAAATTATTTTTATTTAGTGCAATGCAAGAAAAAACAAATTTATAATTTTATAAAGATATATCTACAAATTTCCAAAAACAGTCTGTCTACCAAACAGTAAAGTCGTGTTAGCTTTGCAAGCTTGAACATTTGCAAAACATTTTTTACTACACAAATACCAGCAACATGATCAAAAGTTGCATCCTTAGCTGATACATAAAACATTTTCATCCACGGACCAGTAAGAAGTTTTCCAAACACTGCTAGCACACACATTTCTTTTATGGCAGTTGTATTGCAAAATGATGCTCATAAAACTTCTTTTAAGCTTTTACACTAACTGTACCTATGGTGGGAAAATATTTAAACTCATTATATTGCTTCATAAAAATGAAACAAGTACGAAAAAGAATATGAAGAGGGTTTCCACGATACCCTGGAATGATACCTTGTGATAGTTTAATGTTATCTAAAAAATTTACAAAACTTTTTGGATCACCTTTAACATTCTTAAATTTCATTTTGTTCATAGCTAGAACAATTTTGGTAGCCATACAGTTATTTTCTAATAATTGACAACTTTCATTTTCAAGAAACTTTAATGCTGAATGACATGAAGAAGCTATTGTATCTAGAGAATACAAGTGGCAGTTCAACTCATTCAGATTCTTTACCCAGGTTGCACAAACTTTGCTTATTGTAAGATAGTTAACTGCAACTCTGTCTGATATTGTGTTAGATATATTTGAAATGATTGAGCTATGACACTCATTAAAGCTGCATGAGTAAAAATCTGAATAAATGCCACATCATCAATGGAATTGCATATATGGTTTTCACAGTCATCAGCTGTCCCTCCAGGCATTTGCTCCAGGGCAATCACCTGACATTTATCTTTAGATGTCAAGTGAACGCTATAAATGTGAACACATTCTTGTGTTGTAGCGTCAAATCCTAAAGTAAGATGATTGTTTTGAATAACCCATTCTGCTGATTGCAACCCATTCTGCTGATTGCAACTTACTGTTGAACAAATAGCTCACGTGCCATTTGTTCAACAGTACTGTGATGGGAAATATCAGTAAAAGTGACACCAATATATTCCCTTATTTTCCTTATCAGCAATGGAATGTTACTTGTTGGGAAAGTACATAATAACATGTTATAAACTATCATTCTCATGTAGTGAATGTGTGTTTTTATCTTCTGGAATTTTTAAATTTGTAATTTCATCCTCCTCCATCAAAAGCATATCATTTTCCAAGCAAGAAATCACTCTGTTATTTGTCTTAATAGCAACATTATATTTGAGTTTTATTTGCCTTAGCTTTTGCTTTTCATTTATTTTTAATGCCTTTTTTGTAGCCTTTTTTTTGTAAACTACGAATATGCTCAGTGTAGTATTTTGTTTTAATTTTTTTCTTCAAGTCTCTAATTTCTGCCCTTAAAGCTTTGATAATTTCTTCTTTTCTTTTAATATTTTTCCTTAAAACCCTTACTTTATAAGGCACGCTCTTTAACTTAGTTTTAACTAAAGCTATCTTGCTTTTGTGTTTTCTGGAAGAACTAAGATAACCAAGATTTTAGTTTTTTTTGCCTTGGGAGTAAATTTTTCTCTAGAAACATGCTTATCTAACGCCTTTGTGCAATAAACTGCATATGTTGAAAGTTCACTAGTCAATGATGATGAGACTACTGAAGAATATGTAAAAGTGTGGACTAAACTACTTTGACCATTTTGTAATGAATAGCACTTCAAAAAGATGAGGAATAAACATTAAAAGGCTCATTACAAAATTGAATAAAACAGTCCACATGCCATGAAAAGTTTTTTGGCCTAACTTGTGATTTTTTTACAATATGCATTATATAGGTTTTACTAGTTATGAGATCATATTGTTCTGCAACTTGTTGCGTAGTTTTTTGAAATGACTCACCATTGCTTGTAAATATAAAAAGTATATGCCTATTCCTACAAATTGTGTTGCTATCTGTCGTACTATCAATGTTTATTTGTGAAGGTAATGCAAAAGTAGTTAAATCCGCTTTAGCTTCACCATAAAAAAACACATTTTTTGGGGTCCTATGACAACTACAAAAAAAAGATTAATAAATAAAAACATGGAGCTAAAATAAAAAAACAAAAACTTACGCTAAAAAAGTAATCCATAGACATAAGTCTATCATTGAATTTTTAAAGACAACACGTAATAAATAATTTAGATAACTTATATAAATACAGATATATATTTTATATCTGTATTTATATATAGATATATTATATAAATACAGATATACAAAATATAGATTTACAAACACAAATTAATTTTTGCTTTAACATATAACAAAAATCAAAGTATTACCATGTTATTTGTCCTAAATTATTAAAAGTTAAATTAATTATTAAACTAAGTTATCTCAGATTAATCATTAATTTAAATTATTGGATTATGGACAAACTTAAATATTTACCTTATTTAATATGCTATTGAAACTAAAAAGTTAGGTATTTACCTCTTAGAATTATAAGGAAAACCTTATCAAAAACTTTCACTATATTTCAGATAATATTTCTGATGTTTTCAATTATTGACAGTAGAATTAACAACAACAACAAAAACTGTATTTTTTGTATTACTGGGATGACAAAAATTTAATTAGTTAATAATTTTAATTTTGTCTTATGACATAAGTTATGTACACACTTACTTATGTAACAGATGTTATAACAAAAAACAAGTGCAACCCCCTCTCCCCGGTTTTGTTTCCTACTGGAGCATACAAATTTTGTATGCTCCAGTAGGATGAAATTTGGCAGGTGGTAAGAAAAAAGGATTATAAACAGTTTTAAAAAATGAACCAACATACCTTGGGTTAAAGCTTGAGGTTTAATCAACAACTGAGTTTTTAAAAACAGTAAAGTCAATAAAAATGTTAGATACTTAAACAAAAAAAAAACTCAAAAAAGTTCAACTCTTCAACTTTTTAAATAATATCTATGTTGATATAAAATTTAAAAATAAAACCACTACACACGTTAGTATATCACTTACACAAAACAAACTCAAAAAAACGTGGCACAGAATTTGGCTGAAAAAAACGTTTCTGAAAAAACCAAAATTACGCGTACATATATATATATATATATATATATATATATATATATATATATATATATATATATATATATATATATATATATATATATATATATATATATATATATATATATATATATATATATATATATATATATATATATATATTAGGTGCATCACTTAAAACAAAAATGGGCAAAGAAACTTCTAGCATCAATATTATAAAGCCAATATATATAATAAATAAAAAACTCAAAAAAAAAAATTTGAAAAAATTTTTTTTCCTATGGGGAACTCTTTTCAAATATAGGGAAATGTTTTTTTAAGATGTCAGATCATCTTACAAATAATTAAAAAATGGTAACATTTAATTATTACAAATAATTAAAAAATGGTTAAGATTATATCAGGGCTGATGACCAGGCCAGAGGATCAGAGGGTCAGGTTCCCCCCTCCTCCTATACACATACTTTTTCTATAAAGGACTTTTTTTTAAAAATAAAGGTTTTGAAGTTTTTAGATATGGAGGACTTTTTTTTAGTGGTTGATGATTGTACCCCCCCCCCCCAACTCCCTAACTTTGAAAACATCATCGGCTCTGTATATTTAGAAATGCAAAGTTCTGAAAAGTTGTAGGCTATTTTTAAATAGTTATTTTATACATTTATTGCATTGTACAGAATTGTACATTATTGTCTATGTTTAATACATATAATAGTACAAAAGTGTATTTTGCATACAATGTACATAGTGCACACTTCTATACTAATGTACTCTTCTGTATGTAATCTGGAAAAGAATACAATACATCACATTCTGAAATATTTTTGTATTTTAAAATATGTTTTCATTTATTCATATTAGCAATCAATAAAACTGGAAATAAATTACTTCTGTACGGTGCATTCATGTACCTCATACATGAATATGTAGTATAAAAGTACTTTACTTTCAGTTCGGTCAATTTCCAGTTGTGTAAATTGCTAGTATTTATTTAATATAAACAGGAAGAATGAGTGCTTCTAAAATTACTAGATTCAATTTGGATAAAAAAGTGTCTACTATTAGAGATATCCTGAGTAAGAATCTTTTAATAAGGAATGTTTGTTTATTGAAAGAGATATTGACAAGTATGTAATGAAAAGTCACATTTAAAGATAGCAGAAATATTGTTTATATTTACTTGTATTCACTAAGTGAAACCTTTTATTATTTGTTTTATTTTTAAGGAGGCTAATTTCTGTAAGAGAATTTAGTGTACAATTAGTAGACTTGGTTCTTCAGCAGCGGACAAGATCGAATGCTCTTTTCAAGTTTCCTGTGGTATTAAACAAGATATCTTTGGTACAGAAATAGAATTAGCCTGGAATAAGCTTAGTGATATTTCTAGAGGAAAAATAGCCCAAAATATTGTTTTTACCTGGAATATCAAATTAGATCAATTGCTTGCCATTACATCTTGTAAATGTGAAATCACTTTATGTAATGAAAAGTGCTCAAAATTAAATAGTTGTATAGATTTGGCATGTATTCAGTGTACCTTTCTGAGGGAAAAAAAGATTCCAAAAAGTGAACTTATTTGGTTAAAAGCTAAAATAGAAAAAACTGGGTCACTATCAAAATATCAAATGACTTGTAAAGATACTAAGGAAATAGCTAGACAGGTTTCTTTAGAAAAGAGGAAGCTGAAAAGAAAGTCAAGTCTAGAAAAAAAAAAAATCAGAAAAAAAGAAGAGGAAGAAACTTCAAAGAATAAAGATCTTGTTGAGTCTTTCGTAAGTGATGATAATTCAAACAGAATAGAAATGGACAATGAACCTGCTTCAACTGATAACTGGAAACTAAATTTTATATCTATTAGTAATAGTGCTGAAGCTTCTTTGAGATTTGATATTTCACCAACTGCAACATTAGCAGTAGTTTCAGCTTTTCTTCAAGACTTTTTTCTGGGTAACTTTTCAACGCCTGGAATGTCTCATTTGGCTGTAGATCCTAAGAAAGTTGTTAGAGCTAGGAAAGCAGTAATGACTAAAGCAAAGACATCTGAAGAAATAAAGATTTAATTACTACCTATCAAAATTTGCTGATGGCAGAAAAGATTTTACCAGAGTTTTAAAGCACAACCCTGTAACAAACAATTTCATCAAAGGGTTGTGAAAGAAGAACACATTAGTGTTACTTCTGAACCTGACAGTCACTATATTACACATTTTACACCCATGAAGGCAATGCCTCTCAATAAGGCTGTTAAACCAGCAGCTATTGGGGTATTTAATTGGATGGTTTATTGGGGAGTACATAAAACTCTAGAAGTAGTAGGAGGAAATTCAACAAACGCTGTAACTGGTTCAGCGATAGATGGAGTTTGTTGACAAAAAAGGTTTGTTGACAAATCTTGAACAATTGTTGGGTAGAAAGTGTTTCTGGTGTATTTGTATGCTACATTTCAATGAGCTTCCTTTGAGGCACATTATTGTCACTCTGGATGGACCCACCAATTTAAAGGTTGGTTTTACTGGACCAATATGAACAGTATAGAAAGACTTGATACATTTGAACTTATTGTGCAGTTGGAACCATTAATTCAGATCCCTAAAAATATTCCAAATTCAATGTCAACAGACTCATCTCTCTGCTATAAATTGATTACATGTTTGACTTCTGGCAAGATGGACCCAAGGTTTGCCATTAAAACCATCAAAGAGGTACGGAAAGCTTCTGAGTATGGAGAATCTTGATTCAGGCCATATAAGAAGGTCCAACTAAATTTGGGAGCTATATCCATACAAGAACTGATCCACTCGGACAAAGAAGATAAATCAGAACCTATATTTACTTGTCAAATACCTACAAAAGATTTCTTAGAATCACCTTTTGAAGCACCTTACTTTCTTCTATACACAGTCTTGTGAAAGAGCAGTAAAAGAGGTGATAGATGCATCTGTATCTGTTTGTGGATTTGAGAGAAGGATGGATTTGTTAAGGCCAGGATGGATCAAATACTATTAATGCCTTTACTGCACTCTAAAAAAGATTTAAGAAATATTTTTTATAAAGACACTTGAATTTGATTATTTATACTATAAATATATGTTTCAACATGAATATGTAACTTTGCCAAGCAAATGTGTTATACACAAATAACATTAAAATTGGATTGAAATTCACTAAGATATAATTATTTTAATTCTGAAATTTTACAATTTTACGATGACAAAAAACCCAGTTTCCCAGTAGGTAAAAATAATATTTTTCAAATTTTTTTTTGGAATTTTTATTTATTATATATACTGGTACTATAATATTTATGCTTGAAGTTTCTTTGCTCATTTTTGTTTCAAGTGACATACCTAAAATAAATAAGTAAATATATATATATATATATATATATATATATATATATATATATATATATATATATATATATATATATATATATATATATATATATACACACACACACATATTAGAGTGCCTTTAAAAACCACTTTTTTTGAAAGTCTGCTGCCACCCCCTAAATGTGTTTTATGTAATAAATAAACACTAAACTAAAAAAAGTTTTGAATAAAAAAATTTTTTAGGGGTTGCTCAAGACCCTTAAACATCAAACAGGTCCCTAATATTTTGAAAAAAAAAGTTATTCAAAAGTATATCATGTTGTGTATCAAAAGAAGTTAAATTTTATAAAAATTTTAAAAATAATAATCATTTTATATAAAGATTACTAGTTTAAATTTTATGGCTTAAAAATTTATCATTTTCTAACAAAAAATAAAAAGTACATATTTTCAAATTTTTTTTAAAATAAACTTTTTTTAGTTTGTGTTTCCATAAATTGTTTTTATTATTTTAAATTTTTTTATAAAATTTCACTTCTTTTGAGACCCAACATGCTATATTTTTGAAGAACTTTTTTTTTCAAAATATTAGAGACCCGTTTGATGTTTAAGGGTCTTAAGCGACCCTTAAGGTTCGTGTTTTGGTTATATATCAGGGGCTATTCTAAACCGTTTTCGACAGCATTAACCGTATTTGGGTACCAATTTGGGCGTTGCCTAAATTAAAATTTGAGGATCTTTTTTTTTTTTTTATATGTTTTATAAGGCAAATATTGTTATTTTTGCGAAATAACTGCTGATTTTCAGCTAAAGTTTGTCAGAATGAGGGGGTACCACCGCCCAAAATTTTTTCCTAGAACAGGCCCTGTATATATATATATATATATATCCTTATATTGTAGTGGAAAAAGACTTTCATGGTACAACAAATTCTTTCAACAACATTTAAGTGACTTCAACAATTAAGCTATATTTTAATGTTGTCTAAAAGTTAAAGCAATTAAAGTAATGCGGAAGTGCATTAAGTTTTATCGTTTTTTAAAAAACTGATATAATAATGAATAAAATGTTTTTTTAATTAATAGTGTTTTTTTCCTTTTTTTTTTTTAAAACATTTTTTTAAAACATGTGCGGAGTGTTACTATATCTACTATCTTATAGTCTGCTGCTACAAGGAAGTGCTGCTATATCAACTTTCTTAAAGCCTGCTGCTACAAATAGTGCTTTTACATCAACTATTTTATAGGCTGCTGCTACAAGAAAGTGCCGCTACAAGAAAGTGCCTGACCATGTATTTAATATTTAGTTGCGACAGTTTGACCATGGCTTTTTAGATGTTATTGAACATCTGAAAAGCTGTGGTCATGTTGTTGCAACTAAATATTAAATGCTTGGTCAGGCAAAAAGTGGGATTGCTTGTCATTCCTAAAGAGGCCTATATATATATATATATATATATATATATATATATATATATATATATATATATATATATATATATATATATTATATATATATATATATATATATATATATATATATATATATATATATATATATATATGTATATACACAAGCCTTCCCGTGAAGCAAGTGCGGTCGCATGCCTTGTTCTTCCATACTTATAGTAATTTTTTTAGATAACTTGAGCACGTTTTTATATAGTAAGCGCTTAAAGATTCACTTCAAAATAAAGCTATAAGAAACAATAAAACAGCTATATGAGAATAAAACAGCAATACTCGAAGAAAGGAAATGTAGACTATATGAAATAGAAAATCTAAATAAAATAAGCTAAAGAAATTAAATATTAAAAAAAAAAATCTACCTAAATATTTAACTGTTTTTGTTTTCTTATTTTTAGAGCGTTTTTTATTTTCCGCTACAAAAATTGATACAAGTTGAGGAAAAAAGCATATAAGAATATAACGAAAATAGAAACATTTTTTGATTTACAATTTGCTTGTGACTTTTTTCAGTCAGTATATTAAGGAAATACATTATTATTTGTGCTAGAAACATCAACAATTTTTAAATTTGTTTTTCAAATGTTTTTGCTAAACTTTACTATTTTTATCAATGCACAGGAAACGAGAAAACTAATTGCTAATTATTTGTAAAAAAAATTTTTTTTTCTTATATAGGCTGTATATTAGAGATTTACTGGATATTTTCTCAAGTTCTATAATTGTTTATAAAGTAAAAACAAGTTTTGCCATTCTAAATTAAATAGTGTTTAAGATTTTAAAAAAACAAAATCAATAAAAAACTGGTATAACACAGGTATATGAGTTAATAATGTATAAAGAAAAATTGTTTATTATAGCCAAATTTTTTTTTTTTTTTAATTACTATTTTCTATACTTCGTCAGCACATATACCATGTCATACAGTTTTTCACTGATTTTATAAAGTTAGATCTTGAATACTATTTATTGTAGACTGGCAAGACTTTTTTTTTCTTCATAAACCCTTATAGAACTTTAGAAAAGTTCACTATCCGGCATATCCGGCAAAAATATCCGATACACCTCTACTTTATATATATATATATATATGTATGTATATATATATATATATATATATATATATATATATATATATATATATATATATATATATAAGTAGAGGTGTACCGGATATGCCGGATAGTGAACTTTTCTAAAGTTCTATAAGTGTTTATATATATATATATATATATATATATATATATATATATATATATATATATATATATATATATATATATATATATATATATATATAAAGTAGAGGTGTACCGGATATTTTTGCCGGATATGCCGGATAGTGAACTTTTCTAAAGTTCTATAAGTGTTTATATATATATATATATATATATATATATATATATATATATATATATATATATATATATATATATATATATATATATATAAAAGTAGTGGTGTAGTGGTAAAGCGCTCGATTCATAAGCAAAAGGTTCGGAGTTCAATTCCCACCACGTCCCTGGTAGTACCGCGCTCAACTTGTTTCAGCGCACAGCGGCCTTATTCATCAAATTTCGTGTTTTGGAATTATATAGTTGAGAGAGGGTTACAACTACAAGTAGCCTCCTCATCTATAGTGGCCTTCTTGGCCTTGGGGAGGTGAATTACATATATATATATATATATATATATATATATATATATATATATATATATATATATATATATATATATATATATATATATACACACATATATATATATAACATTGTTATTTTATTTTGTTCAATAATTCAAAAACAGTTAATAAGGTAAAAAATAGTTAATATACAGGTAGTTTTGTAAATTTTAGATTATATTAATAGTTTACACAACTAACTGTATTATATTTATATAACTAAATAACAACGTTATAAATATATATATATATATATATATATATATATATATATATATATATATATATATATATATACACATATATATTTATACATATATATGTATATATATATATATATATATATATATATATATATATATATATATATGTATATATATATATATATATATATATATATATATATATATATATATATATATATATATATATATATATATACATAATATTGTTATTTATTTGTTTGTTTAGTAATACAAAAATAGTTGTAAATATACAGGTAGTTGTGTAAATTTTAAATTATAGCTATTTTAATTTAGGCTGGAGACTTTTTAAGAGAATTACCTTCTTACAATAAAGAAAATTTCACAAAGTTCTCTGCTGATAGCCATATTAAAACAACTGTAAGTTTTTTTTTTTAAATAAAATACGCATTTCAAAATTAAAAATTTTCAAGTTATGCAGGTTTTATAAAGCAACAGTGTGTAATAATAAGGTGTATACATACATACATACATACATACATACATACATACATACATACATACATACATACATACATACATACATACATACATACATATATATATATATATATATATATATATATATATATATATATATATATATAAATATATATATATATATATATATGTATATATATATATATATATATATATATATATATATATATATATATATGTATATATATATATGTATATATATATATGTATATATATATATATATATATGTATATATATATATATATATATATGTATATATATATATATATATATATATATATATATATATATATATATATATATATATATATATATATATATATATATATATATATATATATATATATATACTTACTAAAGCGTATTTTTATAAGCATTAGCTCACTTTTTTTGCTTACCTTAATCCATACGGCTTTTTTAGAAAAAGAAGGAAAAAAACAAAGAATGATGAAATGAATATATATATATATATATATATATATATATATATATATATATATATATATATATATATATATATATATATATATATATATATAAATATATAAATATATAAATATATAAATATATAAATATATATATATATATATATATATATATATATATATATATATATATATATATATATATATATATATATATATATATATGGCAGGAACATATTTTTTATCACATTTTTGCGTTATTGGGAATTTATCTATTGCTATTGCAGCGTACTACTGGATACTACTTTTTCTGTTCATTGAAATACTATTTTGACTTCTCATTTGTTTATCATTTTTTTTTCCATGTTTTTAAATTTTTTCATGCTTAAGAGATTGTTTGCCCTCTGTTTAGCTAATATACTGTTTATTAGGATAATTTAGCAAAGACACAATGCATTTCTAAATTTCATTTTCGATAAGCATTTGCTATTACATTTTTGTACATTTTTTTCTGTTCATTATTGTTAGCTAGTGTAATATTATAATCCTTTCTAAATTTTTTAATTTATTGTAAAGTATTTGAGGAGTATGTTTATCTGTTAATTTTAGAAAAGTTTTTCCTGTTTATTGAAGCACATTCACTGTACAGTTGATCCAAATTATGTTTTTTATTTCAATTTTTCTTTTTTTAAATTTTCTTATCTAATTTATTACTACTCTGTTCTTTACAAACACTGAACACTTATTTTGTAAATACACTAATTTATTAAAATGCGCTCACACATGCACACATGTATATACACATATAGAAAATATTGACTATATATACACATATAGAAAATATTGACTATGTATTTTTTTCAACAACTTTACTTCTCTGTGCAGCTGCAAGTAACCACTGTTTAAGTTGGGGGTGAACAGAAAACAAAGAAAAATGTTAACAAGCGAGGCAAGGTTTGCCGAAAGTGAATAAGCGAGGCAAGGTTTGACAAAAGACATAAAACCTGTATATTGTTTAGGTCAGGAAAGCTTGAAAACAGTAAAATTTCTGAAGCAATTTATGTTGGAAGAAAAAAGAAAAACCCGCATATTGGGATTTGTAATAGCACTAGAAGTAGTAGTATTACCACTCAAGATTTACCTGTCCCACCCATACCCACAAATAAATTTGGATTTTTTTAAGAGTTTTTTTTAGGTAAAGTGCTTTTACCTTAGCCCCAGTTTAATAATAATAAATAAAGTTTTGAATGACTTTTTTAATTTTGTGCTTTTTCTGAATAATTTTTAATGATCGAAATTGCTTATCTTTATTATTTGTTTTTGATTTGCATTTTGAAATGAACTTTAATTTTATTTTGGTTGTAGTAAGTGACCGGGACTGATATTTGACCAGGGTCTAGGTTGGGGCAGGGTTTGATAAAATATAGACGGGGCTGCATAAACATAAATATACATCCTAAAGTATACTTTTAATTTGAAATTCATATTATATTTTGTATATATACGCATATATAAACATCATTATGATCATCATAATCATCATTATCATCATCATTATAATCATCATCATCATCATCATCATCATCATCATCATCATCATCATCATCATCATCTTCAACACCATGTGGATCTAAATTCGGTTTTGCAACAATAATTTTTCACTTTCATTTTCGTATAGTCACGGTGCGTAAATAATTTTTTTTATCTAATATGAGTTTTTTTTATTTATTCTACCCATAAACTTTTAGAATTAAACAATTTCAAACTTTTTAAACTATGTTTTTGTTTTGCAGGGGTGTTTTCATAAACTTCCGGTTGCAATTCCGATTTAGTCATTTTTTCATAAAAGGGGTGGCGGGAAGCCAATTTTTTTTTTCGGAGATGTTAGATACCCAATTCAGGGTTCCATCACCCAATAAATTTTAAAAATCCCTATTCTCAAGTTTGGGTATTTCTATTATCATAAAAAACTTTTAAATTAAACTGGTTGACAAAGATAATGAAGAAATATTTACTTGAAATCTTGAAAAAATGCATTTTTTGCTTCTAATAATGAGATCGTTTTTTTTTTTTAATTGTTGAGATTGTTTTAGTAGGGATTTATTTAATTTTATATGAAATCTCAGAAAATGGTTTAGTTTTTATAGTTAAATAATTTTTTCATATACTTAATGACGATGAAAGCTTTGAATGTGAAGTTACCGAATAAAAAGGTTACGTTACTGAACAAATTTTTGAAAATCTATTTATTGTGAGGTTAAATTAGTTAAATCTCAAAACCAAAACTAGTTATGCTATTTTAATTCTAGAAGACACTACTTATAAATTAGTTTGATGTGGCTATATTGTTTTCATATATTAATTTATCATATATACCCCCTTAACCTAGATGCCCCCCTTTTCCGCTGGGCACATTGTCAATGTTTTTTGCGTTACTCTGGCCCACTACTGTTTAGTTGGAGCACTTTGGCATAATACAAAAATATTTTTAACTGCTTTAAATCAGTTTCCTTGTTTTAGTGCTACGATTTGGTCCCATAAAATCAGTTTATTACTGATAAGTTCTTTAGAACAAAACAATATAGTCTAATGTTAAATGTAACTACTTATCCTTTTGTTTTTTTGATCTCTCTCTCTTTATAGGGTGTATGATTGCTGTTTGCGTTATGCTGGACCGCTACTATGTAGTTTGAGCACTTTGGCATAATACAACAAATCTTTTTAATCAGTTTTCTTTTTTTGTTGTTTGTTTATTCATTCCTCAGTAAATACTCTGCGATTGCTTAGAATTGATAACCACATTACCAAAATGCCATTTAATACGCAGATATGGTAGAAAATTAAATCTCATTTTATTGCAAATTATATTAGGAATTATTTAATATGCGAGTATTGTGGAAACAATGTACTTTTTTTTGCCTCCGTGCTTACCACAAAAATTCCACTTAAATCTGTGGAACATTACTGGATTCATCCTTTGGCAGAGATTTTCGGATTACAGAATAACCTCAAAAAAAAAAATTTCAGAACTGTAACAAAACTTTAAAAACCTCCATTTGTTTCAAATAATTAAATATATTTCTTACAACGTAAATATCGCTAAATATGTAGATTTTTCATATAAAAGCAGAAAATTGTCGAAATTACGTGAAAATAATGTATTTAATACCTACACTTGCAACACGATTTTTTAAGTTATAACAATGTTTAAGTTTTGAAACTTAGCAATTGTCTGTCAACCCATGAAATAAAGGTAATGAATTAAAATCTCTGGAAACAAACAACATTTAGCCTTTTTATTTAAGATTTTTTGCTCTTTGCAATATTTTCAGGTGGTAGAGCTAGGTCAAAACACTAAAAAGGCAAAAATCAATGCATTTTTTAAAAATTTTTACATTCATTCCCTTCATTTAGGTATTTTGAATAACTCCTGAAAATTTGAAGTAAACTGCTTGACCCAATATCAACATATCACGTTGATATCTTAATATTGGGTCTGAGAAATAAGATAAATAAAATACAAAAAGCATAAAAAATTTAAAATCCACTAGGTAAATAAGCTTTTTTTATTTCAGATTAACTACCACTTCAAGCAAAAATCTTGTAACATTTTTTGGACATTGAGACCATTTATGTTATTAAGTCCTTCATTACAATTTTGTATCCCTCCATGAATGCATTTTTTAAGAAGAGAATTATCAGATAGGTCATCAAAATCTTTCTTTATAACATCATAAATCTATAGAAGAATATTTACTTTAGGCTTGTATTTATCAATTCCTTCTTCACTATTCTTCCACCTACACTAACTATTTAATCCTCTAGGACATAGTACATGACGCTGCATTTTGTGTAAAAAAGTTAGTACAATGATTTAGAACAGCTCTTATACCTTTTTTTCATTTGGTATACTTTTTCATTATCGTTTAAACTTTTGTTTTTTCTTCGCTCTATTAAACGATTTCCCACACACATTTGTATATGCTGTGATTGTATTGCAGTGATATTACAAAATAGTCCACAGTTTCCTTGATTGGAACTATAACTTTTTCATTACTTAATAATAAAATTGAAGGGTTCAAAAAAATTTAAAAATACTTAATAACAATTATATACCTAAAAAATAATACTTTATTTAGTGATTTTTAATCAATAAATTAAGAGAACGTCAAGGCAGTTGAAGCTTTAACACAATTTTTTGTTAGTACAATCAATTAAGTCAAATTATGGTTAAAAGTGTAGTAGGGTTGTCTGTTAGTATTAATCAAATCATAAATGTTTTCATAGTTAGGCCATCTTTGGTTAATAGATATTTATTCCTAAAGTGTTCCAATTAAGGTAACTCTCTCCTATATTTAAACAAGGTTTTGCGGCCGATTGATTTTTAGAAATCAGCTTCAAATAGAAGCTGATCAGCCTGTAAGAGAGACTCGTTACAGTGTAA